ACACACACACACACACACACACACACACACACACACACACACGAGCGGTGCTCATTAAAGACGTCTCCTGACTCACTTCTGCTTATCCCAGGAGGCTGAACTTTCACATCTCTATAGGTTATTTTTTTTATTTCCATCCTTAAGTCATAGCATTAGTTAAGTCCAGTAAGCTGTGAAAATGGAACCGGTGGAGTATCAGGTTTTGATACCAGAATGGCGGCACACCTCGAGAGACCTTCAATGAAATGAAAACTTTTGGGGAAGATTCCTCATCATATGACGTTGTTAAACAATGACACAGATCAGCTGTGGTCGGAGATCTATAGAAAAGGTTCCTATCCCCGTATGCCATTGATGAGGACACCATCAGTCAAGTGAAGACTGCCATTTTGGAAAATCGCCGTGAGAGGTTAACCAAAAGGCGCGGAATGTTGGCTAAAGGTGTCGGCCTCCTACAAAACAACGCCCTGTTCACAACTCTCACATTGCCCAGATGGGAGTACGGTTCTGTGGCTACAACATCCTTCTTCGTCCTCCTTATTCTCCTAACCTTGTACCATTTGATTTTCACCTCTTTCCGTCCATGAAGTAATTTCAAGATGAAGAGACAAGGGAAATTAATGAGCACAATTCGTATATATATATATATATATGTATATATATATTTATATATATATATGTATATATATATATATTTATATATATATATGTATATATGTATATATTTTTATATATATGTATATATATATATATATATATATATATATATATATATATATATATATATATATATATATATATATATGTATAGATATAATCCTGAACGTTTCTTCGAAAAGCTGCATGGTTTTCATACAAAGCGTGTTTATGGCACGTAGACGATGATAACCGAAGTCTGCGTGGCCCCTTCGCTTATCCGGAGGGGGAGGATCTACCTTTTGCACGTAAATGGGAGAACATACTTGAATACGCACGACCTGGGCTCTAAGAAAGTGAAAGCTAGCCGGGTCTATTGCTTAAGACTCAGTGCCGTGTTGTCTGTGTATTTGTAATTCGGTAATCTCGTGAATCTGGCACGGTAAGAAATCTGGCCGAGAGCTTTTTATATATGTGTGTGTGTGTGTGTGTGTGTGTGTGTGTGTGTGTGTGTGTGTGTGTGTGTGTGTGTGTGTGTGTGTGTGTGTGTGTGTGTGTGTGTGTGTGTGTGTGTGTGTGTGTGTGTGTGTGTGTGTGTGTGTGTGTGTGTGTACGTGTGTGTGTGTGTGTGTGTGTGTGTGTGTGTGTGTGTGTGTGTGTGTGTGTGTGTGTGTGTGTGTGTGTGTGTGTGTGTATGTATGTATGTATGTGTGTATGTGTGTGTGTGTGCCTTTGCGCTGTGTTTCCTCTTCAGGGCATACAAGATAAGAACTTTACAGATGTATATATTTATGTACTGAACGGTTAGGTCACATCAGTGATAAGGTGTGCGACAACTTTGGCTAGTTCGTGACTCCCCGTTGCGGTGTTTAATTTGCCATGGAGGCAAGCCTTTTATGATGGAGGCTTGGGACCTATTGGGGAGATGGCCGTCGGTGTCAACGTGAACAACGAAGGCACTCCTCTTGTCATGTCGTCGGAGGGCGCTGCGGTGTTGGTCGATTCGTTGTTCGTGGAGGCCTCGTCCTGTCTCACCTATGTATACTTTATCACAGCCGCCACAAGGTATGCTGTATACCTGTCTGCTGTGCTCTGACCCCTTTTCTCTTAAGATATCTCTGATATTATTGCCTGAAGTGATAGCCATCTTCATTGTGTGGCTCACCAGAACATATAAGTAACTCTGATATAATCTTCATTCAATTAGAATTGCCATGTACTAAAAGAAAAGAAAAGAAAAGAAAAGAAAAAATTAATGTCAAAGAAAGGATATGTTAAAAAGGAAAATAAGTAAGGAAACTGTGCAGCATTTTTTATTCACCGATGTTAAACACCGATGTTAATTAAACGTGTGAGTATATCAACAACACGTTTACTGCCCTTCTTGCACAGATTTTAAGGCCTTTTTAGTAACATTTCCGAAACCCCTAACACTTTGATACACGCTGATGAATGTTTTCCCTTTACGCGTGCATTATTGGAACCTGTTGAAACATGTTTTCTGTTTGTATCATGTTGAAGGCAACCAATCAGAGGGTGATATTTTTCAGATATATTTCATGTAGTCTCAGACAGGGATTTATATTTTCGTAGGAATGTGTCAAGGGTGGAAATAAACAGGGAAAAATACTATACTGTTTTATTTTTTTGTTTATCTACCTATCTGTTTTTTTTCTAATTATTTTGATGATGACTGATGACAGGTTGCGAGACAGTTGATAATTATTCACTGGTAGATGATAATAAGTGAGTTTTATTTAGAGATATATTGCATTCAGTCAATAACAAACACAAAACAACACGATTTGGGACAGCGACTTTTAAAATTATAGTAGGATTGTATTCACCTTCTGCATCAAATAAT